CTGGTCCTCACCTTGCAGCTTGCAGTCTCTCGGTCTGCCTCGCAGAAGTTGACTGGAGCCAACCCAGGAAGGTAGAAAGCCGCGCAGGGGGCGGCCTGAAGCCCCAGGAGCAGCCCCAGCCCCAGCAGCAGCCTGGGGATGGCAGACCGGAGGCGCCACACGTTGGTTCCCACGCGGAAACCACGAGTACTCATTTTAGGAGCGGGCTCAGCGCTCGGGGACACACACCATGGGTTAGATGGGAACTAGTGGAGGGGAAAGCCAAAAATGATAAGGAAAAACCGTGGACAGGGAAGAGCCGACACCGGCTAGTGGGACTAGAACTCCCGGGAAGGCCAGTTATTGAGCGACACTGGCTTGGAACCCGGTTGCTAGGGCGCCGGGCTCGCTTTGTGAGCGCGCGCGGTACGCATGCGTGCTGGTCCCCGCCGCGCCTTCCACCCCCACCTCTCCGCCCCGCCCCACCACACCCCCAGCTCTGCACTTTCCCGCGGTTCAGGCGGTTCCTCAGGCGCTGCCTGCAGCGCCATCTCGAGGAGCTGGGGGGTGGGGGGAGCAAAGGAGGCTGTCTGAGATGTCTCAACATCTCAACATCACAGGGTCTCCCACCCTCCTGATTTTGCCTCTCTCAGTCCCAAAGTAGCACTGTTCACCGTCCCCGCCATCTTCATTTCTCGCTGCCGAGGTTGGGGGGTAGGGAGAAGGGGGAGGAAGGGGAATTCCAGGGCCTTGCTGCCCAGTATGGTGGCTATTAGTCGCTTGAAATGCAGCGAGTCCGAAATTGATGTTCTGTAAGTGTAGAATGCACACCGAGCTTTGCACGATAACAAGAACGCAAAACATCTCCATTTTTATATTGATTACATGTTGAAATGATAGTATTTGGGGTCTATTGCGTTAAATAAAACATTATTACAATTAATTTCACCTGTTTCTTTTTATTTTTAAAATGTGGTTACTAGAACATTCAAAACTACATCTGTGGCTCGCGTTATATTTCTATTGGACAGCGCAGGTCTGGGGAAGGAGGGAGAAAGGGGAGAAGACTGAAGAAAAAGGAGGTGGGGAAAGCGGGGGTTGCTCTTAGATTTTGAAAGAAAGTTTTCTTTATCTTAGCGGCAGGGATCTTATTTTGCGACCTCCGTAAGAATGCTTGTCGCCCTTCCCTTCTGTTTCTTGTGCCGTCCTATAATGCAAAGTGCTTGTATTTGGACCTAGAGAGAATTGTAGGTATCCTAGGACAAAGATAGTAGAAGAACTTATTATTATTCTTTCTTGAGTCTCAAGAGCTTTGGAGAACAAGAGGTTATTTGTTTATGCTGAGACGTCTGCGCCTTGCCAAGAGCCTTTTTGTCCAAGTTCCCTCGCTCCAAGAGGTCTGCGTCTTCTGCTGATTGGCAGACGGCGATTCAAGACCCAACACAGGCAGCGAGCTGGCCATTAGCAGAGGTGTGTAGAAATTTAGCGAGTTAACTCTTGGACTAGAGAGGTAAGAAATGTTGTAGGAGACATGAAAGGAGAAAATGTACGAACGATCAGAATTAGGGGAGTTGTGAGTGTGAAAAGATTGAACTTGACGAAGAGAATTGGAGAAGCCCAGGTAAAGATTTGAAGGACAGGATAACTCGATCAGACGGGGCACCACCTTTGTGAAGAGGAACAGGAAAAGGGAGCTAGAAAGCGTGAAAGTGGTGACAGCTGGAAGCAACTAGAGCTTGAATAAAAATCTTGTGTTTCACCACTGCATTACCACCGCTCATTGGTCTGCCTTTTGATGAAAAAGTGTATGTTAAACTGGACGCTCCGCCAGTCTCCCAGGCCTGGGCCCGGGCGTCTAGCTGCTGCGCTAGGACCAAGCGGGCCAGGACTGCTGCGGGACTGAGCTGTCTGCGGAGCAGGGCGCCTCTTGCCAAGTAAGGGGACCATGGGGTGCCTGGCGCTCCCCGGGCGAGGTCTGCCACCCAGTCACCTACAGGACGCCGGCCCCCGCCCCTCCGCAGGCGCCAGAGAGAGACGAGAAGCAGGAAAGACCAGCGGTCAGCATGTTGGTGATCCTTTTTGCCCTGGTCACCATCCTCATCCTCTATAATTCCAACGGTGCCCTTGAGGTCTTCCATTAAAGCCCCCTGCGGGGCCATGTCTGTTAACCTCAAGAAGTGAAGCATCACCCATGGCTACGTCCCCATTCTCAGCAAAAAGACGCAGCCCTCCTGGTGTCACCAGTATGTGATTGTCCCCAGCTCCAGCCACCTGCTGAGCCTGGAGATCACAGATGGAGGTGGCCCATTCCAGCGCATTCTCTGCATTCTCTGCTGCTGCGGGCCTCTAGGAGTTTGTCTTTTACCTCCCCAACCCCCACCCCCTACAAGATGCAGAAGCCCCAGGGCAGCCTTGTGGCAGTCATCCACTAGGCAGGCCTGGCTTTGCCCAACACAAAGGCCTCCCCTCCCCCATGCGCCAATTTGAAGACCTCTCCAGAGTGAGGCCTGCCTGCTGTCTCTGGGCAGCCCTGTACGCCTTCTCATGTTGTATGCCTATAGGCACAGTTTTATTTCTTCCTTTCCAATTTGTATGCCCTTCGTCTCGCTTTCTTGCCTTATTGCACAATCCATTATATTGGATTTCCAATGTAATGTTGAACAGAAGTGGTGAAAGTGGACATCCTTGCCTTCTTCTCCATCTTAGGGGAAAAGCATTCAGTCTTTCACCATTAAGGATGATGTTAGCTATAGGCTTTTTGTAGCTGCCCTTTATCAGGTTAAAGAAGTTCCCTTCTCTTCCTAGTTTGCTGAGAGTTTTTATCATGACCTGATATTGAATTTTATCCATTTTTTATGGCATCAATTGATATGATCATGTGTTTCTTCTTAAGACTATCAATATGATGCATTGCATTGATTTTCAAATATTGAATCGCTTTGTATTTCCAGAATAAACCTCACTTGGTTGTTTGCTGTGTAAAAAACAACAACAACAAACAAACAGGGCTGTATTGCCGTGTGGAATGCAAAATTTGCAGGGCTTTTATCTATTTATTTTTTTCCTTTGGTGAGGAAGATTAGCCCTGAGCTAACACCTGTTGCCAATCCTCCCCTTTTGCTGAGGAAGATTGGCCCTGGGCTAACATCCGTGCCCATCTTTCTCTACTTTATATGTGGGATGCCTGCCACAGCATGGCTTGATAAGTAGTGCGTAGGTCCCGGATCACAACCTGTGATCCCCAGGCTGCGGAAGAGGCACACGAACTTAACTATTACACCACCAGGCCAGCCCCTGCAAGGCTTTTAAAAGATAAAACTCAAAGAAATTAATTTCTTAATGTAGGCTATGCCCCAAACTCCAGAGAGACATGGGTTCTCTCTCCTGGGCCATTAGGGGTATTTTGGCGTGAATGTGAAGACCACTTGATTCATTTTATTTGCTTACTTGTCTCTCTCCCTCTACTGAAAGTAAGCTTCTTGAGCACAGGATCCATTTCTTCCTTATCTTCATATCCCTAGCACAGACCCAGACACTTGATAAGAGCACAATGCATAGATTCAGGGCCGGCCCCATGGCTTAGCGCTTAAGTGCACGCACTCCGCTGCTGGCGGCCCGGGTTCGGATCCCCGGCTGGCACTGACGCACTGCTTTTCTGGCCATGCTGAGGCCGTGTCCCACATACAGCAACTAGAAGGATGTGCAGCTATGACATGCAACTATCTACTGGGGCTTTGGGGGAAAAATAAATTAATTAATTAATTAATAAAAAAATGCATAGATTCAGAATAAATGAAAAGACAGATTAATGAATACCAGGTAACTTACACTGTCATAGACATTTTTATATATTTTACTTCATTTAGAAATCAAAAAAGGATGCAATCAAAAGATGAGAGTGTTGATAACAAGGATAATACCCTCTTTATTTATGTAGCAGTAGAGTTTGCAAAGTTCTTGCCCATCCGTTATGTCACAAGATCCTCCCAGTGACCGTATGAGGTAGGCAAGGTAGTTATTTTATGTGGGATAACTGAGGCCAAGAGAAGTTAATTTGCTTGTCCAAAAGGTCACACAGCTAACAGATGACGAAGCTGAGACTAGGAAGCAAGTCTTCTGATATATAATATAGTTCTCAAATACAATGGTATTAAAAGGAAGTGAAAATGTTTGGTAATAAAAAAAGAAATAAACTCTTTTCATGATGTAGCCATTAAATTTCCAGCTACATCAACTATGAATGTTTCAAAAATAAGCAAGTGAAAGACTGAGTGAAGCATATGAATCTCAAGTTATGAGGTATGTTTGACAGTGGTGCATAGAGACATTTAACCATGAAATTTGTGATATGCAATATCACTCAGTTTTTTCAAAGGAGAGAAGACAAGGAATGGCACTTCACAAAAGTAGGTGCTTCAGGCCACGTTAAAGAAAATGTATAGGGGCCGGCCCGGTGGCACAAGCGGTATTAAGTGCGCGCGCTCCGCTGCGGCGGCCTGGGGCTCACAGGTTCGAATCCCGGGCGTGCACTTATGCACCGCTTGTGGAGCCATGCTGTGGCGGCATCCCCTATAAAGTGGAGGAAGATGGGCACGGATGTTAGCCCAGGGCCAGTCTTCATCAGCAAAAAGGAGGAGGAGGAGGATTGGCAGATGTTAACTCAGGGCTGATCTTCCTCACAAAAAAAAAAAATGTACAAAACAGACTAATGCAACTACTAGGTCTTTAATAGTTTGTTTTTTTTTTATGTTTCTAACCATTTGGAATTAAAGATATCCAAGCTACAGTTCTCATCCTCTTTCCAGTTCACTTCAATGTGTATAGACCAAAATTAAGTAGTGGAACAAAGGAATACTGTGATCCAGTGGAATCATGCTCCATTTAAGCGATGTTTCTTAATCAGCATTGGAACGTCAACAAGGGAACTCAAGTGCCATGGTAAGCCAATGTGTCAGTGCCAGAGGTCGTAGCATACCTTTCATAGTGTGCCGACAGGACCAGACTAGCTTATCCCTTGGGCTTCACGCCTTGACTCCCTTTTCCTTCCCAGTTCCCTCAAGTCTTAATGTTTCTCTCAAACTGATAATGCAAATCTAATCATGTCACACTCCTCTTTAAAATCCTTCACTGGACAACTCAATGCAATGTGGGATCCTGGATTGGATCCTGGCACAGAAAAAGGACATTAGTGGGAAAACTGGTGAAATTCAAATAAAGTCCCTAGTTTAGTTACTAATATTGTACCAAAGTAGATTTCTTAGTTTGATCATTGTATTACGGTTATGTAAGATGTTCACATTAAGTGAAGCTAAGTGAAAGGCATATGAGACCTCTCTGTATTATTTTTTTATTTTTTTTTTTATTTTATTTTTCCCCCCAAAGCCCCAGTGGATAGTTGTATGTCGTAGCTGCACATCCTTCTAGTTGCTGTATGTGGGACTCGGCCTCAGGATGAACGGAGAAGTGGTGCCTCGATGCGCACCCGGGATCCGAACCCGGGCCACCAGCATCGCAGTGCGCGCACTTAACCACCAAGCCACAGGGCCGGCCCATCTCTGTATTATTTTTGCAACACTTCTGTAAATCTAAAATTATCTTGAAATAAGAATTTGAACAACTCTTCTGGGGGCCGGCCCGGCGGCGCAAGCGGTTAAGTGCGCGCGCTCCGCTGCGGCGGCCCGGGGTTCGCTGGTTCAGATCCCGGGCGCGCACCGAGGCACTTCTTGTCAAGCCATGCTGTGGCGGCGTCCCATATAAAGTGGAGGAAGATGGGCACAGATGTTAGCCCAGGGCCGTCTTCCTCAGCAAAAAAAGAGGAGGACTGGCGGATGTTAGCACAGGGCTGATCTCCTCACACACAAAAAAAATAAAATAAAAACAACTCTTCTACTGGCTCTCCATTGCCTCAAGGGTTAAGTCCAAACTTTGCTTAGGAAGACCTGCTTGACCACATATACCTCTTCAGCATCAAACTTCAGTTGGGGGCAGAGGATGGGGTGGTGAGGGGGGGTCCACTCCCACAATCATTCTACTCTTTGATCCTGCTCCAGAGAACTGCTTTCAGTTACACTAAGAGGCCATTCTCTCTCTAGCCTCTGAAAAAATAATTGATCCTTGCTGTTTGTTAGTCTGGTATGCTCTGCTGACTCGGCCATCCCCTCTCCTACCTTTTGCTTGGCTGAAATCTTGCTGGTATATTTCAGCTCTTAATTTGAAAGTTACTTTTCCCAGCAAATCTTCCCTGACAGCCCCCGACTCCACACATACACCACACCCCACCCAACACACACACACACACACACAGAGTTGGATTAAGTGCCCCTTGTATGTGCTCCCACTGTACCCTATGTATACCTCTGATTTGTCACTTTCACAATGTATTAGAGCCCTGTCTGCCTCTTCCATTAGTCAATTGTTAACTCTGAATCTTCTTCTTCTTTTCACACCAACAGTTTCATACGGCAAGGCAGCCATTGTAATAGCTTGATTTCGCAGGTTTACCACTTTGAGGGTTAAGTTTTCCATTTGAGTAATTATTCTTATAATTCATATGTTCTGTGATATGGTGAGAGCAGAAAGTTTTAGTTTTTCCCTTAGTATTGTAGAGTTTCTGAGAATTATGTTTCTCCACCAATATCAACTTGTTATCAAAAGGGTACACATATCCCTGTATTACAGGAATCATTGCAAAATGATCACCACAATAAGTCTAGTTAACTTCCATTCACCACACATAGTTACAAAATTTTTTTTCTGGTGATAAAACTTTCAAACATATGATACAGTGTTGTTAACTACAGTCACCATGCTGTATGTTACCTCTCCATGACTTATTTATTTTATGGCTGAAAGTTTATACCTTTTAACCTCCTTCACCCATTTTGCACCCCCTTCCCCCCACCACCTCTGGCAACCACCAATCTGTTCTCTGTATTCATGAGCTGGAGCTGTTTGTTGTTGTTGGGTTTTTTTTTTTTTTTTTTTAGATTCTACATAGGTATAAGTGAGATCATACAGTATTTGTCTTTTTCTGTCTGACATTTCACTTAGCATAATGCCCTCAATGTTGTCAAAAATGGCAAGATTTCAATCCTTTTTATGGCTGAATTCCATTGTATGTATATCACAATTAATCCATTCATCCATCAATGGACACTTAGGTTGTTTCCATATCTTGGCTATTGTAAACAATGCTGCAATTAGCATGGGGGTGCATATATCTTTTTGAGTTAATGTTTTCATTTTCTTCAGATAAATATCCAGAAGTGGAATTGCTGAATCATATGGTAGTATTATTTTTAACCTTTTGAAGAATCTCCATACTGTTTTTCAGAGTTGCTGCACCAATTTACATTCCCACCAACAGTGCACAAGTGTTCCCTTTTCTCCACATCCTCACCAACGCTTGTTATTTCTTGTCTTTTTGATAATAGCCATTCTAACAGGTGTGAGGTGATAGCTCATTGTGGTTTTCATTTGCATCTCCCTGATGATTAGTGATGTCAAGCACCTTTTCATGTATGTGTTGGTGATCTGTATGTCTTCTTTGCAAAAATATCTGTTCAGATCCTCTGCCCCTTTTTTAATAGGATTGTCTGATTCTTTTTGCTGAGTTGTATGAGTTCTTCATATATTTGGGATATTAGCCCCTTATCAGATATATGAGTTGCAAATATTTTCTACCATTCAGTTGTCTTTTCATTTTGTTGATGGTTTCCATTGCTGTGCAGAAGTTTTTTAATTTGATATAGTCCCACTTTTTTATTTTTGCTTTTGTTGCCTTTGCTTTTGGAGTCGGATCCAAAAAGTGATCACCAAGACCTATGTCAAGGAGCTTATCACTTATATTTTCTTCTAGGAATTTTATCATTTCAGATCTTATTTTCAAATCTTTGATCCATTTTGAGTTAATTTTTGTATGTGGTGTAAGATAGTGGTCCAGTTTCACTCTTTTGCAGGTGGCTGTCCATTTTTCCCATTTATTGAAGAAACTGTCTTTTCCCCATTGTATGTTCTTGGCTCCTTTGTTATAAATTAATTGACCATATATGTGTGGGTTTATTTCTGGGCTCTCTATTCTGTTCCACTGATCTATGTGTCTATTTTTATGCCAATATTATACTATTTTGATTACTACAGCTTTGTAATATAGTTTGAAATAAGGGAGCATGATGCCTCCAGCTTTGTTTTTCTTTCTCAAGATCGCTTTGGCTATTCTTGGTCTTTTATGGTTCCATACAAATTTTAGGATTGTTTGTTCTATTTCTGTGAAAAATGCCATTGAAATTTTGATAGGGATTGCATTAAATCTGTATATTGCTTTGGGTAGTATGGACATTTTAACAATATTAATTTTTCCAATCCATGGGCATGAAATATCTTTCCACTTATTTGTGTCTTTTTCAATTTCTTTCATCAATATCTTACAGTTTTCAGTGTACACATCTTTCAGCTC